AACCTTAGTACCAAATAGAAATATATCGGTTATGCATCACATTGCTTTCAGTAACCAATACATGATTACTTTATAAGTATTGTTGACGGAAATTCGTCTTATTGCGGTAAACACTTATTTTCCTGGCGATGCTGACTCTAAGGAGTTCATTAGCAGTCTTCAAAAAATTGTTGATGCATTTCGGAACTCACATATTCTAATCGCAGGCGATTTGAATGCGCACTCACCCGCTTGGGGTGGCGAAGTATTCGATCGACGACGAGGTTTACTTGAGGAATTCTTTATGCATAATGATCTTTTAGTTATAAATAATCCTCTATCTCCACCGACTCTCACCTCTCATAGGGTGAGAGTTGGATCGATGTCACGGTTGGATGCAGTAGAACTTACACAAAAATTAATAATTGGAGAGTCCTTTCTGAGGATAGTCTTACAGAGCATGCTCTGATCACTTTTGATCTGTTAAATTCTGAAGATGGACGAATCTCTCCATATGCTTCACCTTTGAAATATGCCCTAAATTGTGCAGATTGGCTGGGATTAAAGGATTATCTGGAAACTCACTTGATATCCTATTATTCTGACAGTCCTATCGATGCTAGTCAACAAATAGACAGTAATATTGCAACAATAACACACGCATGTGATTTATTTATTCCTAAAAAGACACCACACAAAAGACGTGTATCATGGTGAACTAATGACCTTGAAAATCTCTGTCGAACCACTCGAGATTTAAGAACCTACCAAAGATGCAGGGACAATCGCATGCGTAACGTGCATAAAACAGCATATCTAGCAAGCCAACGACTTTACAAGCACGCCATTAAGACTGAGAAATTACGCAGTTGGCGTGAATTCTGTACTGAGACCTCTAAAAACCCGTGGGGCTTTATAACGAAAATGTGTTGTAATAAACTCAGGTAAACTAAAATCATAACTGCACCTAATTCTGAGCCAATGACACTTCTTCAAACCCTGGCTTTACAGCTCGAGACTTTTTGCCCTAGAGATGATCCTGAGAACGATTCTATGCATCCGCATGGAAGCTGATCTGATAGATAACACTGAGAATATGCCGCGTTTATCAGATGGAGAAATTAGTCAAGGTTTCTGGAACCTAAATAAAGAAAAGGTCCCCGGACTGGACAATATTTCAACTGAAATTGCAAAGAAATTATGGTTACTTATACCGCAACCCCTAATCCAACTTTATAACTCATGCTTACGCTACGCTATCTTTCCGCGTGCTTGGAAGATTGCCAAGGTTGTACCCGTGCCAAAGCATGGTTCTACTGATGATGTTAGGCTCATTTCCCTGTTATCAGTACAGGGAAAAATATTTGAAAAACTTATCACTGGTAGATTCTCCTGGTTTGTAGAAAGAAACAAATGTCTCTGGTACGTTCAACTCGGCTTCCGACCGTAAAGATCTGCGAAAGATGCAATAGAAGAAATGGTTAAGAGAACAAAGAGTCTGCTTGAATCTAATAAATATGTTCTAGGAATAAGTTTAGATATACCTAAGGCATTCGATTTCGCTTGGTGGCCACTCATCAAAATACAACTGCGTAAGATTAAATGTGCAAGTAATATCTTTAAAATTATCCAAGATTACTTACAAGAAAGAATGGCGGTTTTACAATATGGACAGCATCACGTAAGAAAAATTATCTTCAGAAAATGTCCACAGGTGTCCTTGTGTGGACCCGTGCTTTGGAATATAACCGTCGACAGTTTCCTCAGAGGGAATTTTGGACAAGCACATTCGATTGTATACGCAGACGATGTTATGATGCTGCTGGGTGGACGCTCAAGAGCAGATCTAGAGAGCAAGAGCAATCTTATGATTCAAAGGATCTACAGCTGGGAAATAGAGCATATGTTTCACTTTAACTCCCTTAAAACAAAAGGAATAGTACTGAATAAACCTGGCAAGGCAAACTTGTATCTAAGACCTCATCATTTAACCATGAATGGTAATTATTCTCACTTCCTCAGCCGTTTACTTACAAATAAAATCAAACACCAAACACTTGCTGAACTTATTGTTATTTTACTACTCAAACGTTTTCAGCCTACTTCTAATAGGCCATCTTCAACAAACTACTGTTCTACAATCGAATACCAGACTTTCGAACAAATTTTAAATTTAAACTTTTAACATATTTTTAAACATCTTTACAACAAACAGTAAACTATTAAATATTTAACTAAAAAATTTTAACATACTATATAATAAATATAAAATTAATATAACAAAAATATACATTAAACTAGCAAAATATAACCGCTATAAGTTTACAGGTTTTTAATTCCCATTTCCTTTTCTATCATGTATTTCCTTGCCGTTGGAAGAGCATTAGCATCCTTGGCGTTTAAGCAATTGTTATTTACTTTACTCTTATATATCTCCATTTTTATGCCAAACGTTGGTGTTTGATTATATTTGTAAGTAAACGGCTGAGGAAGTGAGAATAGTTGCGATGGCGGCACCGGCCAACGATTATAAGTTATACAGAAAGATTACTTTGAAGCTAGTTAAGACTAACTGCAAGTTTAAGTTTCTTAAGGAGTGTGTTGAAAAGAAGGTATTTCGAATGTCCATACACAGAATTAGCATACCGGTAGAATGCTATATGTTAAAAAGAAGGTTCCAAGAGACATGTTTACGTAAATCTATTAAGATTGTAAAAAACAAAAAATATGGAATTTTAAAGGAGTGTATTGAATTTGAAGATGCAATATATCAAAAAATCAGCAATTGTTAAAAGAAATCAATGAGAAGGTAGTAAGACTAACGGAGCGGGTAACAAATACCCTTGAAAAGAAATATTACAAAAAAATAAGGTGGATTGTAAAGAAACAAGCTACCAAAAAACGAAATAGAAATTCACAGCCCTATATTCTATGGGACCAGATTAAAGTACCAAAAAGTGTAGATATGGTATTAAGGAATGGACCCAGTTACGTGCCAAATAACAAGAGAGATTGGGAAAATACAATGGCTGAAATGGAAAGAGGTATGACCGGTCTTAATGAAGTACAAAGGGATTATTTTAGATGGAAGATGGTTTTCAAAAAAAAGGAAAGTCGTGAAATGGTTTGTAGGGAAAATTTGAATATAAAGTATACAAGAGAATGGCTAACGAAAAATCAGTTGGTGTTAACAAAAGCGGACAAAACTAAACAAATGGTGATTATGGAAAGAGGAAGGTATAATGAAGCCATTAAAGATTATATTAAGAAAACGGAATGTGAGATAGTAGACAAAAAGATTGTGACAGTAACGAACAACAAAGTTAAGAAGCTAGAAAAATCTCCATTCGCTAAGTGCATGACGTTATTAAAAAAGGCACATAACCCGTGCCCCCGAATACCCAGAATCTTTGCGTTCGCAAAAACGCACAAGCAAAACAAAGAAATTAGACCGGTAGTTGAGAAATGTGGTGCGCCAACCTTTATTTTATAGAAACGATTAAAAAAAGTATATATATGAAAGTTTGGAAGATAATATATATGTAACACAGGATCCAAATAAGTTACTGAAAGAATTAAAAGGTTTGGCGTTGATGGATGATGAGATAGGAACTGTTATGAATTCTGAAAGCATGTACAGTACCCTTCCATGAATTTAACATCTTGTTTCAATACCCTTGTTGAATTTATGGTACAACATAATCCAGGATTAACGGCGTATATGGAAGACTTAAATAAATTGGCGGATCTCATGTGTTACCAATCCTTTTTTACGTTCAATGGGACGGTGTACAAACAAAGGAAAGAAGTGCCAATGGGTAGTCTCATGTCGGGTCTCTTGTGCGAATTAGTGGTACGTCAACTAGAAAAGGAAGTCCTAGAAAACTACATGGAGGACATTATATTATACAAAAGATATGTAGATGATGTATTGATAATTTGGAAGGATAACCGAAGGATTGAGGAATTTTTAAGTACGATAAATAACAATAAACATGGGTTAAAACTAAATCTTGAACAAAAAAGTCATACGCAGGTACATTTTTAAAATACTAACATAAGATTTAAACAAGGATATGTACAAACGGCAGTATATCTAAAACCCACACATGCTCCACTATATATCCCGGCATGGTCTAATGATCCATTTAGATACAAGATGTCAAGAGTACTTATTAAAAGAGCATTCTTATATTGCACCAACGTACAAGATAGAATTAGAGAGATTAACAGAATCAAGAAGATTGCGAAAACTTTAGGGTACAAAACATCTACAATTAACGGACTGATCAAAGGTTACAAACAAGAGACAAACAAACGAGATAAACTAAAAAGTATGTTTAATAATTTTACATACAACAGGAATGTAGAGAAAATAATAGAAGAATTGTGTAAATATAAGAACACAAGATCTGTTTATAAGCGAGCGCCAAACATCTAGAAATTACTAAGGAATGAAAAGGACAAGTTAAGAATGAAAAAAAAAAGGCTGGTGTTTATAGAATTCTTTTTGAAAATCAACAATTAGGAGTGACAAAGGATTATGTGGGTGTCACCACAAGGAACCTGGCGGTTCGTGTAAAGGAGCACATGTATGACGTTAATAAAGGGAACAACAACACCATTTTGGCAATTATGGCACAAACGAAAGGAGCAAGTGTAAAGTGGGATGATGCAAAAATAGTTAAACCGGACCATTNCGTTAATAAAGGGAACAACAACACCATTTTGGCAATTATGGCACAAACGAAAGGAGCAAGTGTAAAGTGGGATGATGCAAAAATAGTTAAACCGGACCATTCTCCGACTATTGCGTTTAGCATAGAAAAAATGGAGATATATAAGAGTAAAGTAAATAACAATTGCTTAAACGCCAAGGATGCTAATGTTCTTCCAACGGCAAGGAAATACATGATAGAAAAGGCAATGGGAATTAAAAACCCGTAAACTTATAGCGGTTATATTTTGCTGGTTTAATATATATTTTTGTTATATTAATTTTTATATTTATTATATAGNAGATTGAGGGTTTCATTACTAGCCCAACTGATTATGACACTGAGATAGTCAATAGTGAAGAATATGAGGACAAAATTATAAGTTGTAAATTTAAGATCCAGTCTCGTATTAAACGAATAGAAGCAGATTCGTCCGTGGTCACGGTGACTCAGGGCCCCGTAGTTCGAAATAATTCCGCCAATATTAATTTGCCGGAGATTCCTCTACCGAAATTCTCTGGAAAATATGAAGAATGGAGTAACTTTAAAATGCAATTTGATAATATCATTTCGTCAAACGAGCAACTGTCGGCAGAACAAAAACTACATTATTTGAAGGCTGCTCTCGTAGGGGAAGCTAAGAGTTTAGAAACGTTAAACGATTCATTTGCTTCATTGTTTCAAGCGCTACAAGAAAGGTACGAAAATAAGAAATTAATAGTAGAAACCCATGTTAATGCGATTCTGGACTCTGTAAAATTACCTTATGAGTCAGCAAGGGGTTTGAGGAGTTTAATTGATAGCATCAATAGAAATATGCGAGCACTAAAAGTCCTAGGATATGAAAGGAATGAGCTTTCTGATATCTTAATTTTAAATATCGTACTTCAGAAGCTGGATAAGGAGACTCTAAAACAGTATGAGTTCAGTATCAGTTCGAATGACGTTCCTAAACTAGATAATTTGATTTCATTTTTGGAAAAGCGTTCTCAGATTTTAGAAAATATTAATAAGACCACGTTCGTGAAACCAAGGTGTAGTCAAGATAGAGTTAAACCGAAAAGCTTGTTCATAAAATACAATTCTATGTCTCATTGTATTTTATGTAAGCAAAATCATCCTGTTTACACTTGTGATTCCTTTTTACGGCTTGAAGCCTCCCAAAGAAACGATGTGGTGGCCAAAAACAACCTCTGTTTCAATTGCTTAAGTGATCGGCATAAGTTATCCAGTTGCAACTCTAAGAGCTGCTGTAAGATATGCCGAAAGCGACATAATACATTACTGCATCGAGAGAAACAAGCTATGATTGGTTCAAATGTGCCAGTGGTCGACAGCAAACCGACTCCAATCAAGCAGGACCTTAATCCCGACGCAATAGAGTTTCGTGAAGGTATACCTCACTCACTGTCATGCATTGACAATGGAAATAAGACAGTAATTCTCTCGACAGCCATGGTTTGGGTTTTAAATCATACTACCGGAGCCAGCATTCAAGCGCGCGCAGTATTGGACTCGGGCAGTATGTCAAATATCGTTACTAGAGATTTCGCAAGTCGTCTGGGTACCCCGCAAGAAAGAATCGATCTCACAGTCTCCAGTATAAGTGGAAATAAAACCTCGGTCAAGTTTAGGCTGATTGCCACAATAATAAACGGCAATGGATCTTTTTCTAAGAAGCTAGAGTTCTTGGTGGTGCCAAGGATCACGGATTTACTTCCTGTTTCCTCTCTACACATTAGCAAAACAGAAATTCCATGTCAGTTAGCTGATCCAAGATTTGCTACACCAGGCAAGATTGACATGCTTATTGGAGCTGAAGCATTCTTTGAAATAGTTAAGAACGATCAAATTCGTCCATCGTGCAATAATAACCTAACATTTCGTAACACAGTTTTTGGATACATCGCAACTGGATCTACAGAATCTAATAATCAAGATCAATATTGTGGACTAATATCAGAGCCAGAGTCAGTCGATAAGTGTTTACAAAGGTTCTGGCAAATAGAGACTCTAACAGAGGCTCCAAGTTTGATGAGTAAAGAAGAGGAGTATTGCGAAGATCATTATCAAAGAACTCACAGACGTAATGAGGACGGGAGATATATTGTGCAGATGGCAACCAAGGACATACAAAACTTGGGAGAGTCAAGGAAATTAGCATTGAGGAGATTGAATCAGTTATGGAAGAGACTATCAAGGAACAATCAGTTAAAGGAGTTATATCAGAATTTCATGAAGGAGTATTTGGATTTGGATCATATGGAAAAGGTGCAAGAGCATTCTGGTGATCAGGTAGCAAACCCCATATGTTATTACCTTCCGCATCATGGTGTGTTTAGACCAGACAAAACCACTACAAAGTTAAGGGTAGTCTTCAACGCATCTGCTCCCACAACTTCTGGACTGAGCTTAAATGATCATCTCTTGAAAGGTGAAGTAAAGGAAGATGTTTTCGAGATTATGACAAGATTTCGAAAATACAAGTACGCATTTACAGCAGATATCCAGAAAATGTTTCGTCAAATTCTAATTGAGCCCTCGCAACGAGATCTCTTAAGAATTGTTTGGAAGAACGAGGAAGATGAAATGCCAGTCACCTATAGACTGAAAACTGTGACTTACGGAACCGCCAGTGCTCCCTTTCTTGCGGTGAGAACTCTTAAGCAGTTAGCTCACGATGAAGCAGCAAGCTATCCTCTGGCCTCTAAAACCATATTACGAGATGTCTACATGGATGACATCGTATCAGGTGAGCAAGATTTCGATGCTGCCCTCGAACTACAATCTCAGTTGTGCAATATGTTGAGCACATGTGGAATGACACTACACAAATGGAATTCTAATTCAATGAAATTGATGAACAGCAGTTCACCAGAAAATAAAGAGCATTGCTTTTCCTCAAGTGCGGAACCAACAGTAAAAACCTTAGGCATTATTTGGAAACCGGTTGAAGATCAGTTCATATTCAAGGTATCGATTCCAGAAAAATTGCTTTATACGAAACGAGAAGTGTTGAGTGTCATCGCCAGGCTTTATGACCCCTTGGGTCTTCTAGCACCAGTTATAATTCGAGCAAAGATCTTTCTACAGAAACTGTGGCTCAGTAAGCTCAATTGGGAGGATACTCTACCAGAAAACCTTAATTATGAATGGGTGAACTTTGTATCGTCCTTGAAGGCCTTGGACGACCTTAAGATTACTAGATATATTTTGACAGACCCCCTTCAAAGAGCTGTCTTGCTAGGATATGCAGATGCTTCGGAGTCAGCTTATGGAGCAGTAGTTTACATGCATTGCATAAAGGAAGATGGAGCTGGCAAGACACGACTTATTGCTAGTAAATCTCGTGTTGCTCCTCTTAAGGTCATTACAATCCCTCGATTAGAGCTATCAGCTTGTCTTGTACTGTCTCAGCTGATCAAGAAAGTACGCTCATGTCTGCGAATGGATATAGCTGAGGTGATCTTACACACAGATTCAACTATTGCCATCGCTTGGATCAACACTCCCGCATATCGCCTGAAGACCTTTATTGTGTGAGATTAGCCGGGGTTACGGAGTAGATAGTACTCGTGTAACACTTAATCGACAGCTAGTCGGTGAGACTAGATCTCTAGGATGCAGATCTCTAGATCTGATCTTAAATATTTTCATAGGAGAGCGTAAACAAAGATGATCTGAACGGCGAAGTTCAGATGTTTGTCAGGTTCCCGACACCAGTTTGTCAATTTATCGATGCGCGGACAAACACGCGTATGCGATCTGATTCGGAATGAATTGAGGAGATATTCTTATAAAATAAAACAAGGGTAAATTTAATGAATCTCAAACAAACGAATACAAATAACCAAATACAACGATTACAAGACAAGCTAAAGGTTACGACTTAACCTAGGCTAATGCGCGATCGAGAGAGAGAGCTCACAAAATGATTCTAAACATACGACCTGTAGTTGTCGTCTTCGTTTCTGTATAGGTAGAGGACACTTGTAGATAGGGTTATTATTTCTTTCGTATGGGAGATCAATTCGTGCACAAATATAAAGATTCACTTCTTCTAAGTGTAGACTCGGGACTTAGTCTATCGGGCTCCGTTATGGGCGTTGGCCATCAGGAGGGAAACGTATGTGGAGTTTGTATGCTTCGGATCTGTCGAAGAACTCCGTCGCTGAACTCCCCGAATTCTGACTAATCTCCCCTTTTATTTCAAAAATTTCGTCCAATCATCGTCCAGTAACTCTTTCGTGAGAACGGACGAAAGGGGGATGAATGAGGGGTAACCATTTCCCATCTGAGCGAGATTTTTAACCAGATACGGAAAACAGCGGATGTTCTCTTCTGTGGAAGGAAGTAACATCTGTTATCTGGTTTTTCCCACGTCTAAAACACAAGTTTTTCACACAAAATGAAATAATATTCTGTGTCGATAATTTAATATTATCGATAAAAATTCATAAAATACACCCAGGGCCTTTCGGATCTCACAATTGCGAATCGAGTGGAAAAGATACGATCTATTACTGAAGGCTGTCACTGGAAACATATAGCCTCCCATTCCAATCCTGCAGATGTAGTTTCTCGGGGTTTAAAACCGCAGGATCTACTATCCATGGAATTATGGTGGAGCGGGCCGCAATCTCAACTAGCATCATCCGTTGAACATCAGGATGAATATGCCATCGACACTTCCTCAGATGAACAATATCTATCTGAGCTTAAAAACCAATCGGACGTTAATTTAATGTCAGTGTCAAGCTCTGACCTTGACAATACCTTGTTTGAACTTAATAATAATTATATGAAATTAATTCGCATACTCAGTTATATTTTCCGGTTTCTACATAACATAAGGCATGTAACTCGTCGATCTGGACCTTTATCAAGGGAAGAACTCCAGGAGTCCAAAATTTATTTGATCGGCAAGGTACAAGGAATTGCCTTTGCCGAAGAAATAAAAACACTGCAAATGAGAAGGAATCTAACGAAGGGTCAGTTAAGCAGATTGCATCCCTTTCTAGATAAACAAGGCCTAATGAGAGTCGGCGGTAGATTGAGCAATTCAAATTTACCATTTGACAAAAAGTTTCCAATTCTGCTACCTAAAAATCACAAGTTAACCTACTTAATTATGAGATATTATCATTTGAAAAATTTGCATGTTGGTGCGCAAACTTTACTTTATCTCGTCAGACAAGAATTCTGGCCTTTAAGTGGAAGAAACCTGGCTAGAAGGGTAGTACATGAATGCATCGTTTGCTTTAGAAATAAACCCAAAGGCATGGAACAAATCCTAGGAAATCTTCCTTCAGAGCGAATCACTCCAAATCCCCCTTTCAAACATGTAGGGATTGATTTTTGTGGTCCTTTTCTTATTAAATATAAAGGACAAAGAAAGGGCATCTATCACAAGTGCTACGTCGCAATCTTCGTTTGCCTTGTGACTAGGGCAATTCACCTTGAAGTAGTTACTGACTTAACAACCGAGGCAATGATAGCAACTTTGAAAAGATTTTTTAGCAGACGGGGTAAAAGTGCATCAATTTGGACAGATAATGCCACAAATTTTGTAGGTGCCAGTGCTGAGTTGAAACGCCTACATAACTACGTAAGAGCACCTCCTGACAGTTTAGCTGACTATCTCACCAGCGAGGAGGTCACTTGGAAGTTTATACCACCTAGATCACCAAATTTCGGTGGCCTTTGGGAAGCAGGAGTCAAGTCCTTTAAACATCACCTAAAGAGAACCGTAGGTAACTCGCATCTAACTATAGAACAGTTTATAACCATCACCACACAGATAGAAGGAGTTTTGAATAGCCGACCGCTCACTCCTATGTCCACTGATCCAAACGACTTCCAAGTTCTAACTCCAGGACACTTTCTTATCGGAAGACCTCTGATTAGCCTACCTGAATCAGATCTCACTGGTAAACCAGATAATTATTTGTCTCAATGGCAAATGTTAACTAAATTTGTTCAAGTTATTTGGCGTAAGTGGAAATTGGACTACTTAAACAACTTACAGGCCCGACATAAGTGGCAATTTGAGAAAGACAATATAACACCAAACTCAATGGTCCTCTTAAAGGATGAAAATCTCCCACCCGGTAGTTGGTCGATGGGCCGAGTACAAGAAGTAATCAAGGGATCTGACGGAAAGGTGAGAGTGGTTCTGGTGAAAACGCCTAAGGGTGTTTTTAAGAGAAGCATAACCAAACTGTGCCTGTTACCATCCATCTAGGAAGAAAATGTGGTTCGTCTTGGTGACCTATATGTGCCATTTCTGTTGTAATTAAATTTAAATTTATGTTTAATATTGTTTATTGAAGTATTACTTCAACGCGGGCCGGGATGTTAGCGCCTCAAGCGCCACCGTATTTTTGTCATAAAAAAAAAATTATTTAAAAAATTTGTGAACGAGAGTAGTTCTGTAACGGTCATTTGTAGCAGCCATTTTGTACCAGTGTTTCATTCCGCATTAAACGTTATTTTTTGCAAAACCGCAGTACTTTCATATTTTTACAGTCCATTAAAGATCGACAAACATATAGAGAGACCATTTTGTATTACACAAACAGTGTTATATGTGCGATGCAATATATTTAAAAGAATGACAGTTCCGTGTTTAGATTATTATGAATTCTGTTACTCTAGTGTTACTTTCGGCTTTTCATTTAGTAACTAAATGTAAGGGTGCGACTATGCAGACACGAATTTAGAGCGAGCGATTTAGTTTTCGCAAAGGAAAACCATGCACAAACGAAAAGCGAGAAATAACGCTGGCGAGAGCGAATTTCTGATTCTCGCACATATCTGAGAGGTTTTGATATTTATCGCGTCTCGCCACATATTCTCGCTCGCTCGTGTCTGCATAGTGCACCGTAAGGCTCTGTCAGACAAAGGTGTTTTGGTTTAGATTATTTATCGGTTTAATCATATAAGCAATTGTTACGCGGTTATAATAAATATNCGAATGACGTCGACCCACCGAAGTATAGATTGTACGATGTATTTTGTGGTCGTCGGAACGTATCGTGACGAAATAGATTATTTTTTTTTAGTTGTCGTAATATGGAGCGAGTATAAAGTGAAAATACAGCATATTATTATTTTTTAAACATTAACTTACTCACTAACTAAACTAACCTACCATAACCTAGGACGAACCTAACCAGAAATCAAGATAAGACTCCCTAATCTAACTTACAACTAGGACTAACAGAATTTAGACTAAAAAGAAGACAGAAAATAAGAATTAAAATACAAAGTTGAAAGCAACTATATACTGACAGTTGAAACAAAGCAAGAGAAAGCTAATTGCCATCCGTGCCCCCAGAGAGAGTGCTCCCAAGAGCCCCACTAAGGAATATGAATGCAAGTAGTGACGTATGCTATAGGGCAGGGGTGTCCAACCCGCGGTCCGTGGGCCGCATGCGGCCCAAGGCAAGTTTCAATGTGGCCCAATAAACATGTAAACAAAACCGACAAATGTTTTAATTTTTATTATTTATTTATTTCAACAGCATAAACTCAAAAAAAAAGTTTCACAAAGCTGTAAACCTTCATTCATATTTTATTTTTGAGTGAAAAGGAAATATTTTCAAATACTTGGAGATGTGTGAATGACGAAGGATTACTAAATAAAACTAGAGTTGTGACTCAAAGGATTATAGACCCAAATTTGGGAAAAGGAGGGAAAGAAGAGAAAAGACAAAAGATAAAAAGTAGTGAGAAAGGTTAAATAAATCTGTTAGCGCCTCAAGCGCCACCGTATTTTTGTCATAAAAAAAAAGGAAAAAAAAATTTTTTTTTTTAAATTTGTGAACGAGAGTAGTTCTGTAACGGTCATTTGTAGCAGCCATTTTGTACCAGTGTTTCATTCCGCATTAAACGTTATTTTTTGCAAAACCGCAGTACTTTCATATTTTTACAGTCCATTAAAGATCGACAAACAAAATCTTCTGTTATGAAAATATTGACCCTTAATTTTCCAACCTTTCTCACTTCTGTATCTTTTGTCCTTTCTCTCCTTTCCCCGCATTTGGGTCTATAACGCACTGAGTCACAACTCCAGCTTTATTTAGTATTTCTTCCATTGTTGCAAGATTTGGCTACATTGCGTCAAATGTGGCTACTTTTTTTTTTGACGTAAAAATTATCATTTGGCACTTAGGCTACTTTTTTGGCTACATATTTATAAATATATTAGTTGAATAAAAATGCATTTTAAAATGGTGCTTCATCACTTTTCATTAATTAAAGACACAAATAAAACAAATATTTGTGTTTTTCAAATAAATTTTCGTTTGTCTCTTTTAGATAAACAAGGTAATAAATGAATTTATCTATTTCTAAGTAAAAATTGAAAGTGTCTGTAGAAGTAATTTTTTAAAATATCCTTTTTCGATATAAAGTTTTAATACTTATTATTATAATCTACACATTTATACACCTTATATATACTTGTGGCCCAAAACTCCTTGACTTCTTCCAATGCAGAGAGACAAAAAGGTTGGACACTCCTGCTATAAGGACATCATAGAACACCAGTAATGGAGCTTTTTTCAATGCTGTTTTCAGACTATTAAAAGCATTCTGTTGCGGTTGGCCCCAACTCTGGGTCACACTTTTTTGAAGTACCAAATGAAAAGGTTCAGTCATAGAGGAATAGTTCGCAATGAATTTAAAAACATAATTAGTCATGCCTAAAAATCATTGCAACTCTATGATACTGGTAAGACTTTCAAACTATTGATAGCTTCGACTTTCTCGGGATCAATCTGACCCTCTTGGGCACTGAAAACATGACCCATAAATTTACTGAAGTTTGCTCAAATGTGCATTTTTCTTTGTTTAACCTAACACCCTGATTGTACAGGCAGGATAATACTTCATTGGTGTATTTATGTAAGTCTGGTATCATATCTACCCAAATCAAAATGTCGTCCATTGAACATTCAATGTTTTGGCAGTCCTCTATGATGATCTGCATTACCTGTTGAAAAATCTCAGGTGCTGATGCCAGGCTGAATGGCACTCATTGAAAGGAGTATTGGCCCCATGGAGTATTCACTGTTAGCAAGTCAGCATTACATGATATAATGGCAATTGCCAAAGTACCTTTTGGGCATCTAGCAGGATAAAATAGCATGTAGTAGCTATGCACACTGTAATGGCCTCCATGGTTTTGAATAAAATTTGATGCTTTTTGATAGCTTTATTAATGTCTAACAGATCCATGCACAGACAGATTTTTCCCTCATTGTGCACTATCATTAATGGTCTCCTCAATGGTATCGGGTGGGTAACTAGTTTCAGCACTTTTAGTTTAACCACATTGTCCAGTTCCTTCTTGACTTCTACACAAAATGCATAAGGAATATTGTTCGGTGGATGCACATGAAAAACCACATTGTCTAATAATTCCATGTTGTGCACAAAATCTGTGATACAGCCAATACTGTACCTCTAAAAATATTATCTGGCACTGCAACTTCAAGATCAACAATCTCTACTTTCTCAGTGTACAAAGTCTGAGTTTTTCACAGGTATCTTTACCTAGCAATGGAGAATAAGACTATAAACTTCTAAGACTATAAACTTTATCCTTGCACCACGACCTTCCACAACATAATTAGCAACACATTCTCCTAGCACCAGCATATAGGTGTGGTTGAAGGAACAAATACAGCATATAACACTAGGGATTACTTTTAGCTTAAGACTTTGAACTAAGGAAAATGGCATGACGTCACCATCTGCTCCTGTATCCAACTTGAACACTGTGGAGATGCTAATAAAATATTTAAAAAAACCAATGCTGTGGAGATGCTGTTGGAAAATTTGACTGGAACACACCACGATTGGGTCAGAGTGCATCTCTGACACGTGGATTTGGGCCTGGAGCACCTCCAAAACAAACAGACAGTCACACTCATGTTCTCTGTTCAACTCCTTGGAGAGCTGCACTTCACAAGTCTGCTACAGTCTTTGCCATTTAGAAGGGCAATTCCTAGCATAGTGACCCCTTTTTGAACACTGGCAGCAGTTAACTTTAAATGCTGGACACTTTTGATTCTCGTGTGACAAACACTCTGCAGCATTAATTGCCTGAGTTTGTTGACAAATCCCAAGTTGCAGGGATCATCTTGTTCTTCATAAATTTTAGCAAATTAACATCATTGTTCATAATTTCCATTCTAGACTGCATCTCCCACAGCTGAATGGAAGCTGATTCACTGGCTCTACAGCTCTGAATAGCATGATCCAACATAAGAGTAGGTTCTCTGAGTAATTGTTCTTTAATTGAATACCGAAATTACATTCTCAAATTTTGGTTCTGAGACCAGTCAAAAATTTATCTAAAGACTCATTGCTACCATTTCTTGCTTGCAGAATATTCCATTAAATATAAATAAACTTGTTGAAAGATCATACACAGAATTTTGGAGAGATTCTTACAGGACATATTAAAAATACCATTTTTCAATCAGGAGAGAAACAGGCAGAAAGAAGCAAACTGATGAATTTTCATTTCAAAGATTTTTGTAATAAATTTGTTTTTATATTTAAGATAATCTCCGAGTGAAATTTTAAGTAGTGATATCAATATATATATCGATTTGTAAAGTACAGTGGGTTAATCTGCTTGAGTCTTCTTGATAATACAGTATCTTTCTTAAATAAGATTGAACTGCAGCCTACTGTAGACCTGTTCAAGGCATACATACTGCCCAGCAACATCAGACATCTTCTGCCCACTCACTACCTTTGCTATTATACTCTCATCTTCTGAAAATAAAAACCAATGCAAAATTTAAAGAGTGCCTACTCAACAGTCTCGCAAATACTATAAAAGAATTGTTTCTGTCAGAAAAATAAAAGACTGGAATTACAAGAGAGAGTATCAAAGTTCAGAGGAATGCTTTCCAATCAGTACATACCAGGTTGAGCATTGATGTCGATGTCTCCCGCGCTCCGAAAAGTTTCGAATTGTTGCCTGAAGACCATTGGCATGGCCAGAGTTTTGTTATGAACAACCTGACACAAAATTGAATTATTTCAAATTACTGTTCATTAAAATGAAATTTCCATAAGAATCGACAATTACTTAACACACACAAAATATGAAACTTCCTTTAATCATACGTTCTCGTAACATTAACATCAAACTCTAGCAATGCCTTTAACAAAAATTAACCAATCAATTATTTTTTTTACCATTGTTTAATATAGTTCACCGTCTTTAATCTAGATATAGACCAGGGGTGGCCAGCAGATTTTTCCTCCGGGCCGAATTGGAAAGAAAACTTTTTTCACTGCCCAAACCAGAGGCAGCCCTAGCAAGATTTTCAGGTGATGTGAGATCTTATTTTCGAGTCACCCAGTAGAAAGACTAAACTGTACATAGAGATTACAGATGTAGTTTTCATATTGGATACAAAAAACTGTTGACCTTTTTTTTTTACTTTTTTTAATATTTTTTCTTTATTTAAGGTTCTGATCTTCTCAACTTTCCTATAACTTCACATTGTGAGAATTTAAGGAATTATCACGGAT